CGTCTGATGGATTCTATTTGTCTCAAGCCAAGTATGTCTCTGGTCTTCTTGCTCGGGCCGGTCTCACTGATTGTCAGACAGCTTCTACACCTCTTGATTATGATGTTCGTCTTACTCCACTTGATGGCTCTCTTCTTGAAGATCCTACATTATATCGTCAGCTTGTTGGGAGTTTGATATACTTGACTGTCACTCGGCCTGATATAGCTCATGCTGTTCATATTGTGAGTCAGTTTATGGCTGCTTCGAGAACCACGCATCATTCTGCTGTGTTGCACATCCTTCGCTATGTGAAGGGCACTCTATTGCATGGTTTACACTTCTCGGCCCATTCTTCTTTGACGCTTAGCGGTTATTCTGATGCAGATTGGGCTGGAGATCCTACTGATCGTCGTTCTATTACTGGGTACTGCTTCTTTCTGGGTGATTCACTTGTCTCTTGGCGTAGTAAGAAGCAAACATTGGTTTTCATATCGAGTGCTGAGTCTGAGTATCGTGCTCTTGCTGATTCCACCTCAGAGTTATTATGGTTGCGTCGACTACTTGCTGATCTTGGTGCACCTCAGTCGGCGTCTACTGCTTTACATTGTGATAGTCAGAGTGCTATAAAGATGTCTCATAATGATACATTTCATGAGCGTACCAAGCATATTGAGATTGACTGTCACTTCATTCGACAGCCTGTTGCACATGGGACTGTGAAGCTTGTTTCCGTCTCCTCTATAGATCAACCAGCGGATGTCTTCACGAAGTCTCTCCTTCCCGGTCACTTTTGTTTACTTCTTAGCAAACTCAAGTTGATCTCTACTATACCACCTTGCGTTTGAGGGGGGTGTTAGTTATGTTAAATGTTTTCTTGTACAATAAGATAGGTTTAGGCCCACTTAGGCGGCTAAGGCCCTTCTATGTATCTATATATATATGTGTGTATATGTCCTTGTGAATAATACATCAGATATTTTTCTCACATTCCTTACAAAGGACATATCAAAAGAAACTGCAGAGCCTGGAAAAACAGAGGTCGGAGGGACAACAAGTCAGAGAACGATGAAAGTACCACAATCCCTGTGATCAATGGGGAAGTGGTGTTGCTCTCTGTTGAAGAAGAAGAGTATCATGTTGCAGATTCATGTGTTGAATGGGTCATTAATTCAGCAGCATCATTCCATGCAACCTCTCACAAAGAATTCTTTTCTCTATACAAAGAAGGAGACTTTGGTAGAGTACTGATGGGCAACAACAGCATTGCAAATATTGTGGGAGTTGGTGATGTGTGCTTTCAAACTGATATTGGTGCACAATAACACTGAAGGATGTGCGACATGTACCTGACTTACGCCTGAATTCGATCTCTGTGCATGCACTGGATCTAACAGGCTATAGTAACAATTTTGGTAGCGGCACGTGGAGGCTTACCAAAGGATCGTTGTTAGCTGCTGGAGGTACAGTGAGATCGACATTGTACAGAACTGAAGTGAAGTTGATCAAGGGTGGATTGAATGCAGTCAAGGATGATGCTTCGTCAAATTTGTGGCACAAAAGACTGCTCATATTGGTGAAAAAGAATTGCAAATTTTGGCAATAAAGTCCCTCATCCCATTTGCCAAAGATTCAAAACTAAATCCTTGTGATTATTATCTCTTTGTGAAGCATCATAGAATGTCTTTCAGCAAAACCTCGAAACTGAAAAAGAATGTGTTGGAAATGGTTTATTCTGATGTATGTGGACCTATGGAAGTGGAGAATCTCGGTGGTAGCAGATATTTCTTGACATCTATTGATGATGCTTCACAAAAATTGTGGGTGTACTTCTTGAGAACGAAGAACGAAGGTTTTCAGTATTTCAAAAGGTTTCATGCTATGATGGAGAGATAGGCTGGTAACCTTTGAAGTGTCTTCGCTCAGATATGGGGGAGTATACTTTCCATGAATTCAATAATTATTGTGCTGATCATAGCATCAGGCATAAGAAGACTGTACCTGAAACCCCACAACATAATGATGTGGCTGAAAGAATCATAGAACCATTATGAAAAAAGTTAGGTGTATGTTAAGAATGGCTAAGCTACCTAAGTCATTCTAGGGTGAAGCTGTTCAAACAGCATGCTATCTGATCAACCGATCTCCATCTGTTCCTTTGGGCTTTGATAACCCTGAGAGAGTATGGTTCGGACATGTTGTTAAATACTCTCATTTAAAGGTATTTGGATGCAAAGCTTTTGCTCACATAAGCAAGGAACAAAGACGAAAACTTGATGATAAAGTCATTCCTTGTATATTTCTGGGCTATAGAGATGAGGAATTTGGCTACAGGTTATGGGATCTAGAAAATCGAAAAATTATCAGAAGCAGAGATGTAGTGTTCTATGAGCAAGAAACTATGTCTGATTCTGCTTCACCAGAAGCTAGAGAACCAAGTGGTAAGGTGGATCTTTCACCTGTCAAACCTCATGGAGATGCCACAGCAGAGGGAGAGTGTGATGGAGAACAAAGGGTTGATGATGAGCCAACAATAAAAGATGGTGATGGCGAAGGTGTCGAGCAAGAAGACCTCAAAGCTCCACCTCAGCTCAGGAGACCACATCGAGCGATCCAACCATATCACTGAAGAAGGGGAGCCAGAAAGCTTTGAAGAAGTGCAGACTCATAAGGATAAATCACAGTGGATGATAGCCATGCAAGAAGAAATGGATTCAGTAGTGAAAATTGAAACTTATGAGCTTGTAAAGCTTCCAGAAGACAGAAAAGCCTTGAAAAATAAATAGGTGGTTAAGCTTAAGAAAGATGGTGACAAGCTGTTGAAGTACAAGGCTCATTTAGTCGTGAAAGAATTTGGACAAAAGCGAGGAATAGATTTCGATGAGATATTCTGCCGTTGTAAAGATGAGCTCTATTCGAGTAGTACTCAGATTGGTGGCTAGCTTGGATCTAGAGCTTGAACAACTAGATGTGAAGACTGCATTTCTTCATAGAGACCTAGATGAAGAAATTTACATGGAGCAACCAGAAGGATTTGAGAGGACTGGAAAGGAGCACATGGTTTGCAAATTGAAGAAGAGCTTGTATGAACTGAAACAAGCTCTAAGACAGTGGTACAAGAAATTTGACTCGTTTATGACGAGCCATCGATATACCAAGACTGATGTAGATCATAGTGTGTTCGTTAAGAAATTCCAGGTGATAAATTCATTATCCTTTTGTTATATGTAGATGATATGTTGATAGTAGAACATGATATGAAGTTGATTGGTGATTTGAAGAAGGAATTAGCAAAGTCCTTTGATATGAAGGATCTTGGCCCTGCGAAACAAATTTTGGGCATGCAGATCATGCGAGACCAAAAATCCAAGAGGTTATAGTTATCGCAAGAACGGTATGTGAATCAGATTCTAGAGAGATTCAACATAATATTGGCTAAGCCGGTCAATTCACCGTTGGCTAATCACTTTAAACTCAGTAAACGAAGTTGTCCTATGAGTCAACAAGAATAAGAAGCCATGGCGGATGTTCCATACTCCATGGCAGTTGGGAGTTTGATGTATGACACGGTCTGTACTAGACCAGATATCGCTCAAGCGGTTGGAATTGTTAACAGGCATCTTTCCAATCCTAAAAAGGATCATTAGGAAGCTGTGAAGTGGATCTTGAGGTACCTAAAAGGTAGTGCAAATAAATGTTTGAGCTTCGGCAAAGGAAACTCAGTTCTTGAAGGTTATATAGATCCAAATATGGTAGGTGACCTGGATAGTTGAAAATCTACTTCAGGGTTTGTGTTTACATTTGCAGAAGGAGTTGTACCTTGATAATCTAAATCGCAAAAATCTGTTGCCTTGTCGACTACTGAAGTAGAGTATATTTGTTTGTCCTATTTTTGTTGCATTTTTCGTTGTTATTTTTTCCCTTTCTTTTTCCTCCATTTTAAATCTTTTCGTTTGTTTTTAGTTCGTTTTGTGTTTTGTTGCGTGTTTCTCTCTATTCTGGTTTTTTTGGTATTTTTCGGTCATTTTCCAGTTGTTTGTCGTCGTTGGTGTGCAGGTTAGAAGGTTCAGGAAGATTTGTTGTTTGTGAAAAATGGACCGAGCGGACATGATTAAAGAGAGCATTTCGTTGGGAGTACACTGGAAAAAGCAGATTCAAATTCTGTTATCAAACAAGCCCGAACGACCCCGAAGTGTGAAGTTGTGCATGCGGTCCAAACACCAGGACCCGCGAGCAGCCCCACACGCACGTCGCGCCGCGCAGCTGCCACAACATGGACAAAGCGCCCCGAATCCGCACGCCACGCCGTGCATGCTGCCGCGCCGCGATGTCACGCCCTGTCGCGCCGCGAGCGTGTAGCGCGCC